GATATGACAAATTCATTCTAATTAAGTAGTTTTTACAGGTGGCCGGAAAGACGCTCGACCAAAAGCTGGCATCTTGAAATAACTAAATCATCTTGGAAGTTGGCTGCACGAGGATTAATATTAGAACCCTGCTTAAGTAATCTTTTCGAGTCAAAAACGCATTTCAGAATGTCGGTGAACATTGCTGAAGTTATCAACTTAAAAGGGAACTAAGCCGCACAAATCAACGTTCCTTCATTTTCTCACAGAGGGTCAATCTCCAATGGAACTCTTTGACGGAGTATGTTGTTAGTTCCCCTACCGTGCGTGTGTTCAAGAGTCAACTTGATACTCGCCTGCTGAAATGCAACCCGAACTGCCGGAGCCTGATCCAATGGATTACTGAAATTACTAAAAATATACTACTAAGATGATTTCAATAATGCCTTTTTGTGCGTCAAACTTGATCCATATGGAAATTTTCACAGTCCGAATGCGGTGAACAAAGTTTTTCGCAATTATTTCGCGACTACCATACCCCTTCCGCAATTATGTTCCATTACTAGATTTATGAATTCCCCTTACTAAAATCGCAAGCAAAATTTTTGTAATTTAATTATTTTCCCTTACATCTGTACCGTCTAAATGGAGCTTTCAGGGCTTCTGTCGTTTACTCCAAATATACTGACTGTACGTTCGTTCGGTTGAACTCAAGATGGCGATATCATGCAAAATGAGCTGTGGCCAACTTCGACTCTTCCTGGGTCAGGTTGTTAATCGTAACCAATAATCCGACGCCCTCGTATCTGGCCGAGCGTTCGCCGTTGCCGTTTACGTCTGCGTAAGCATGCAAAGAAGCTGGCAGAGAGCCTGATGAATGGCGCGGATCAAGAACACAGGATTCCCACGTCATCTGTGGTGCAGGTGAGCGGACTTGGGGATTTCTTTCAAGGTCTCCGGATGCTCAGCGTCTGCTGCACGTCCACCATTAAACGACTCAACATTTTGGTGGCCAACATGTTTTTTTCAAGTTTTTCTGTTCGAAAAACTAGTTTGATGGGCCATTTCGGGTTCGACCGCCATCGTGAGCCACCCATAAACAGGAAGACCTCCGGTTTGTACAGTTGAAGATGTAACCTCAGGCAGTGTTAACCGAAATTCTGAAATGCGTCTTCGACTCGAAAAGATCACTTAAGAAGAACTGTAAAATTAATTCTCGTGCAGTATAATCCCAAGGTATTCCAGTCGTGTCGAGATGCTGACTTTTTAACGAGATTCTTTCCAGTCGCCTGCAAAAATTACATTTTGTGTGCAGCAAATCAAGCATTCTCCTATGTCATTGAGATGATTTCATATAGGGTTCATGCAGCTTTGTATTGGATGCGGAACACGTTATAAACTTTATAAACAGCATTAATAAATGGACAAATACGATGCCATGTGAATGGATATTTCACGGTCTTAAAATTCTCTTGATTAGAAACTGCTTAAATCCGAAAATACACTCTCATCAAGTATAAAATTTGAGGAGTCCGTACTTTTCTACCAAATGAGCATAAGAGGAACTATTTTGCTATATGCTTTCTATGAAATAAATTTGCGTTTATAGAGGCATCTCAAATCAACTGGAAAAGTTCAGACTATTTAAGTTGTTATTTTTACTGAGCGTTGTTTTCTTTCCGGCGGCCGTTACGAATCTTATTCGAAAGCCGACATCATGACGTGACTGGGAATATCTTGAGATTGTACTGCGAAATAAGTAATATTGCAATCCCACTTAAATAATCTTGTCGAATCACGCACACACATCTCATGAAAAAACACACCTACGGTGCCTAGGAATTCGCCTGAAAATTGTTCACTAGTCCGCTAGAACCGTCTCTGTGAACGTACTCTAAATGAACATTGATCAAGAGAAGACCTCGATGGTTAAGTGTTCCTTGTGCTGTCTAAGCATTCCCAGAAGCAGTTGTAAGCAGCGAAATGCACAGTCGAGGGTTTACTGTTAAGACTAACACTAACTGATTTCGCAGCTAAAGAAGACAGTGTAGCAGTAATCCGCCACAGGACCCTGTTCGGGTTCCTGTGGTACCACCCCAGTATGAACACCCCCCCCCCACCCCACCCAGCATGTCGAACGAAGTACCATTCCCACACCGAAGGACCCGAGATTAAAACTGAGCCTCTCGGTATAGGCCAAGACACTTGAGAGTGCCTTTTGAGGGCTAAACCTCAATGTAGGACGAAATACGCCTGCATAAGCAAGCCCCTCAAACTGTAAACATGAGCTCTCCTCTAAGAACCAACGGCTGCCGCTACACCGCCCTCGTGAGCCACCTTCAAAACTGCTACGAGCTACTGTTTTCTTTTTTCACCGAACTCTCCTCAGCCCATCTTAATGACACAACAGCTGGGACCCCCTATTGACAGTATGTGTGTGTGTGGAGGTGCCGTTGCGTTAGTGCGACACGGCAGGCCAGAGGGATCTGGAGAGGCAGAGGAAGGCAGTTATGTCTCCCGAGGTGCCGACACCTCTAGTAGGCCCAAGCGACCCCCGTTGGGCGGGGCCCCTGGCGAGGTGCCGACGTGCGGGGCACACACACACAAGCAGGACAACTGTCTTCCTTTCGGCCTGATACGCGGACAGAGGCACCATTCACGCCCCCTCACCTCTCCTCCCCCGCGCGCCCACGTGCCCTCAGACCCGGTACCCGCCTCCCCCTCCCTCCAGCGTAGGGGTTATAAAGGGGATGTGGAGAACAGCCGTGCGGTCTGAACAAACACAAAGACGCACACGTCGCAATTACGGCCTGGCGGGACTCAGATCGCTGCCGAGAGAGGAGGGGGAGGGGTAGGGGAGAGCGAGGGCAAATCGCACTACTAAGGTGAGCTGGTGCGCCCAATTTTGTGACCCTTTAGAACTGCGACTTTTAAGCCCAACTCGTCCGTTGCTGGAAGTCCATTTTATTTGCATTTTCAACCCCAGTCTGTGCAACATTTTAGCAACCGTAGTATTCGGAAGCGTGTTAATCATTACCGATGAGGATGCACATTATAAGCTCTAAAACGGGTGAAACCTTCAAACAGGTGTTGCAGTAATGACGTGCGTATAACGTGGTCTAACTCCGAATGCTCGACTGCAACTGGCGAGTTCCGCAGAACCTTACGGCAGGCCTGCAGGAGCATAAATTCACGCGACTTGAAAACTCCTACTTCAGAGTACCTCAGTTATCGGATTATAAATGAGTTCGTTAACTACAATCTTCTTTGAAAGAAAACCCATGCCTTCGGACCCTATTAAAACACCCAACCCACTAGTCAACACATTCCCCGGGATAATTCCTTAAGTCGTTTTAGAGTTTTCAGGAAGTAAATTCCTAAACTTCATAAAGTTTCCCCTTTATCTTCGAAACCTGTGACATACAAAAGGTGGGCTAACTCATGAAATGTCAACCGAAATTCCGAAATGCGCTCTCGTTTCGAAAAGATTAATTAAGTAGGCTTGTAAAACTAGTCAGCCTGCAACATAATTCTATAACATTTCAGTTACTTCAGGATGCCGGCTTTCGAATGAACTTCCTTCCGGCTGCATGCAAGGAATACACTCTGTAAAAAAAACGACTTCCAATTCCCTTAAAAATTCAATTATATTTCATGTAAAACGTGTACAAAAATATTCACTCTTTTGCTCCTTTAGTACAAAATTAAGCCTTCTTCCGATCTTATTTTCGTAGGAAGGGTATAATTCGATTTTCAAAAACTTTTCCATTTCCCGAATAATTTTGAACCCGCTCTACAGTCACACTTGGATTCAGGGTTTCCAAACCACAAGCCGTATATTTTCCGCGTACGGAAAACCACAAATTTCTCTACGGTAATAAAGGAGGACCATATAGGGTTCATAAAATGGGGCAGTGGGTTCGATCCATTTTGTTAACTTCTCAAGCCACATTGGTAAGTGCAGAGATAGGACGATTTATGAACGGCCATTTAACGGTATTAAAACCGAATTATGTCCCCCCTCGAGTATAAAATTATAAAAAGACGCAATTGTCTACCGAATGAGCAAAAGAATGAATATTTTTATGCATGTTTTCCATGAAATATAATTGGACATTTAGGGGCATCGAATATCAATGAGAGAAATTCATGCTACATATGTAGTCGTTTTTTACAAAGTGCAGTTTTTGTATGTAGCCGGAAGAAAGTTCATTCGAAAGCGGGCATCCTGACGTAACTGAAAGATTATAGAATTATGATGCAGACTGACTAGTTTTACAACCCTACTCAATTAATCTTTTCAAAACGAAAACCCATTCCGAATAATTCGGTTTTAAAAAAGTTTCTAATTGTGGGACTTTTAAATACTGTGAAATGGCCGTTCATAAATCTTCATGTCTCTGCATTTACCAATGTGGCTTGTACTGGTAACAATATTGGTCAAATCCACTGCTAAATTTTATGAACCGTAGAGGAATGTGTGGTTTTCCGTACGCGGAAAATATACGGCTTGTAGTTTGGAAACCCTGAATCCAAGCGTACGACAGGTCGGGTTCAAAATTATTCTGGAATTGGAAAAGTTTTTTGAAAATCGAATTATACCCTTCCTTCGAGTATAAGGTTGGAAGAAAACGTAATTTTGTACCAAGGAAGCAAAAGAATGAATATTTTTGTGCATGTCTTCCATGAAATATAGTTGAATTTTTAAGGGTTTCGAAAATCAATGAGAAAAATTCATGCTGCATAAGTCGTCGTTTTTTACAGAGTGTAGTTTTTGCTTGCAGCCGGAAGGAAGTTCATTCGAAAGCCGAGGTAACTGAAATATTATATAACTATGTTGCAGGCTGACTAATTTTACAAGCCTACTTAATTAATCTTTTCGAAACGAGAGCGCATTTCGGAATTTCGGTTGACATTTCATGAGTTAGCCCACCTAATGTATCTGGGCCCTCCCAGCACTGGCGCGCCGGTCGCAGTGGGATGGATTTGCTAGTTGCCAACCAGACCGGTGCGTGAACTGAATGCACGATCTCTACGAGGACAGGTTCGACCAGTTACACATCGCTGGGTGTGGGGGTAGTAATGGGCAGGGTGGTGGTTGGTGGGCCGTCGGGAGTGTTTCGATCGGTGACGCTAGAGGGAGCTGCGATGGTGGTGGTGGTGGTGGTGGTGGTGGTGGTGGTGGTGGTGGTGGTGGTGGTGGTGGTGGTGGTGGTGGTGGTCGTCGTCGTCGTCGTCGTCGTCGTCGTCGTCGTGGTCGTGGTCGTGGTGGTCGTGATCACGGATGTTGTGACAGGGATGATGCAAATAGTAGTGCTCGATGACGGCGGAACAAGGGGGTCCTAAGCGTCATTGGTGAGAGTAGTCGTTGTCGTGGACCTGGTAGAGGTTGAAGGGGGGCAGACACGAAGGCAGAAGTTAGGGTTGTCAGTAGATTGGTGCACTAGGTCCCGAGGTGTCCGACGAGGCCGTTCCGCACGCGGACTGTTCGTTGACAGCGTGAGCATGCAGAGAGGGGTTGGGGGTTGTCGTTGCAGGTTAGGAATGCGTGAGACCCGCGAGCTCCCTTTTTTCTGGGCAGCAGATAGCAGGTTGGCTCCATAGAGTAGTGCTCCAGTTTTCACTCTTCTACAGGCCGGTCGGTTCAGTGCGAGGTCTCCGCAAGTCTTCAGATTGATTTTTAGTCGTTTCGATCTATTCTTCGAGATGTTCTCTTAACGGTCACTACCTGTGGTAGGCACTCATCGCCCACCCTCAAGAGGTGGTCGCTCCATCGTAGTTGCAGAAACCTCGGCATGTCGTAAATGCTGGTGATTCCAGTCCGTTCCAAAACTTCGGTGTCCGCGATTCTGTCCTGCCACCTCAGCATTAGTATCCGTGGGAGACAACTGATGTTGAAGTGGTCGAGTCGCTGCGTTTGTTTTCTGCAGACTCTCCAAGTCTCCGCATCACTCAGCAGAGTCCTCATGATGACCGTTTTGTACATTTTCAATTTGACGTTGAGGTGGAGACCGTGGCGATTTCGTACGGAGTTCTGCAACCGCCGAAGGCTTTGAATATCCAGCAGGCCACTTCCTCGTCGATTTTGATGCGGCATGAGTGAATGATACGTAAGTAGACAAAGTTGCCCACCCTACCCATCTGGATGCTTTTGACGTGGATGCTAGGAGCACTGTATGCGGTGTTAGATGGCGGTTGGTAGATGACCACCATTCTGTCCGTGTCGTTGGTCAGCCCGAGGTTTGCTCAACAAGAGGCGAACAACATCATGCTGCGTTGAATGCTCGTTTCTGTTACCGTTTTGAGTACACAGTCGGCCGCGAAGAGAAGATTGTGGACAATAGTCGTGAAGGGACGCGTTGAGGACTGCATGGTCCATCGTATAGGCAATGAGAATCCTGGAGCCCTCAAACGTCCATTATCGTGGTAGGAAACCTGAGGCTGAAGAGGTTGGGGTCGAGTTCGAAGCCTCTTTCATCCCGTTGGTTACTGCGAACGCCTCTGGGACGATCCCGTTGTCCGTGACGCAGGCCATCTTCCCGTCGTGGAGCTGACGCACTGTGTACGTGAATCGCCCAAAGCAGTCGAATTTCTGCATGATTTTCCGCAGTATATCGAAATTCACCGTGCCGAAGGCTGTCGTCAAGTCCACGAAAGTAGTGCGGAGATGGATCCGCATTTCCTCGCTTTTCACCCGCAGGTGGCGAGTAGAGAAGATCATTTCGGTGGTTCAACGATGGCACCGGAAGCCACATTGGCATTCTGAAAAAAATTCCCTGTCCAAGATGACCGCTGAGACGGTTGAGATGGATTCGAGCGGAGACCTTCCCGGTGACGTTGAAAGCTAACTTTGTCTGTGGCTATCGCAGAGTTGCCGGCTTCCTTTTCTCTTATAGATATGGACGATTTTCGCATCTTTAAAATCCCGAGGAACTTGTCCTCGGCGTCTCATCTCTTAGAATAGCATTACGAACTGATCTGTCAGCCGGGTGCCGCCGTGCTCGAAAACTTCGACTGGGATTGCGTAGAATTCCGGTGATTTCCTGCTGGAGAATTAGTGCACGGCGGGTGGTCCACATTGTTGTTCGTTTTCATTTGAGGGAGTCGGTTGATGGCGGAGTCGGAAACTGTAGAGGGGTGGTTAAGGACACTTCTGAAGTGTTCGACCCAAAGCTTCAGGATCTGCGATTTATCAATCAGAAAAGCTGAGGTGCGAAACGGTTCCTTTCGTTTCGGGACCGTAAACCGCCTTAACTGAAAAGGAGTTCTGTGTTCCATTGAGGTCAGCATATCCCCGGGTTTCCTCGATATGACGAGTCATCCAGGCGTTCTGCATCTCCCGCAGTCGTTGCCACACGAGGCGGCGACAACGGAATCTGTCTCTTAGCGCTTTCCGTCATGGTCCAGTCCTTCCCAGGACCGCTGATAAGTTGCAATGATTCCCCCTTAACGTGATCTTTGTGCAAATTTCATCGAGGCGAGACCTGGGGGCGTCCTTATTGTAGCCTCTTATATATGACGTGGTGGCCGGGTCGTGTGTGGCCACTGCGCCCACCGATCGTTTTAACTTTGTCTTGCCATCGTAGCTCAAGACGCCTGCCAAGACAGAGAATGTGGTGAATGCAGCTCAATTCTGTCTTAATGCAAAGAATTTCACGAGATTTTTTAATACCGTTGAATGGCCGTTCATGAAACGTCAGGTATCTGCATTTACGAATGTGGCTTGTAAAGTTAACAATGTTGCTCAAATGCACTGCTTAATTTTATGAACCTAATATGGTCTCCTTTTAACACCGTAGAGAAATGCATGGTTTTGCGTACACGGAAAATATACAGCTTGTAGTTTTGAAACCCTGAATGCAAGTGTAACAGCAGGTCGGGTTCAAGATTATTCGGAAATTAGAAAAGTTTTTTTAAAACCGAATTATCCTCTTCTTTTGAGTATGAAATTGGAAGAAGACGCGATTTCCTACTAAATAAGTAAAAGAATGAATATTTTTATGCATGCTTTCCATGAAATGTAATTGAATTTTCAAGGGCATCGAAAATCAATGAGAAAATTGCATGCTACATAAGTAGTCATTTTTTGCAGAGTATAGATCTTGCATACAGCCGAAAATAAGTTCTCTCGAAAGCCGACACCCTGAGGTAACTGGATAATTATAAATTTATGCTGCATCATGATTAGTTTTACAACACTACTTAATTTATCTTTTCGAAACGAGAACGCATTTCGAAATTTTGGTTGATATTTCATGAGTTAGCACATCTACTGTAGCCTGAATTCCCCTCTTTTTAAGTCGAGTATTGCGTAAACAGCTCTTTCTGAAAGAGATTTCGATTATCTGATAAGTTTTGTTTCCTGGCATTGGGTGCGACCGCAACTGCAGACGTTCCCCGGAAGACTGTGTTATATCCTCCACGCTAGTGCCGTTCTCACCGCATTCCGGCCCTTCCACCTGTCATTGGGGTCTCCGAAGTGGTGCCACATTAACCGCAGCCGCGTTCCAGAGTTTGGTTATCAGAATGACCTGAGGAGGCTTTGTGTGCAGCTCCACTGATCAGCACCTCCCTCCGTTCCCCTTCGCTGCTCTACCTGCCCCCTTCTCGCCATTCCTCTCATCCACCGTGTAGCACGCACTTGCCTAGAACATCCACCTGCTCGGTACGTGCTTGCTCTGCTGATCCTGT